TTAGAAAAATGTAGTAGTCTAATCGTACGATGATATGCATTGAACTATTTATTGTTAGACTGTATGTTGTATGTCGGCTTAGATTGGACATATAACAGATTGGAATAACAAAGACATCAGATAACAACGCTAGTCATGATGACTCTTCTATTGTGGGAAACGAAAGTATTAAAATGGTATATCATTCTGAAAGAATAATTTGAGTTACAAAATACGTTAGTGATTGTCTTCTTATTTGTGCGCAAATACAATGTGTGTAAACATCGCCTGATCTGACATATCATTGTGAAAGAAAGACGAGAATATTAAAATGGCGTAATAGATGTGGGATCGATTGTGAAAATATGCTTTGACCTACAGAATACGTTAGCGATAGTCCTTCTATTGGTGCATGCAAATACAATCGTGAGCAAACACCGATCGACATATTGTAAAAAAAAAAAGGAAAAGAAACAGACGCTTTGGGTTAGTAAATCGTTAGCTGAAATTCTCCTATGCAAATTCATTCAATTCATGGTATTTAAGACTTAACTGTCTTGGTTTAAGCTTAAGGTGGTGCTACAGCCAACTTGTCAGCCAAATTTGGACTAAATACGGACGGATCGTGTGAAATTAACAGATCTGCAGTTTCGATTCACTAGAAGATTGTTTACAGCGATAAACAGACAGCAATGTACGCCATGTCATTGTACATTGTTATCGCTTATCAAGAAGTCCTCTCTATTATACAATTTGACGATTATTATATGTCGGCATGTTTAAAATTAGTCAATATGTACGCTTTGCGAACTTTTCAATTATGTTCATAGATTGTCTTCATTATTCCAAACTGACATACAACAATTGTATATAATTAATTTGATGCAATTTATTATTATTATGCATTGAATGTTGTGAATAAACTCAAAACTTTGTAATTTAAAGGAAAACAATAGAGAAAGTTTGAATATAGATGAGGATCTGTAATGGTCCAAAACTGATTTGACTGAGTTCTGGACTGAGACGGTCCAGAACTGACACAGGTCCAGTACTCAGGTACAACAAGTAATTAAAATGAGAGTGTAAGTTTTCTTGTCTCTGGTTCTGGAACGAGTCATACAGTAATACGCTTTGTGGCGTACTGTTTATTTTCCTCGAGCGTATCGGATTAATAATAGTAAATCAGAAATTTGGCTTCCGAGAATCCGAGTTGGAATTACGGCAGCTAGTATTAGTAATAGTAACAACTATTGTTATTATTATTATTATTATTATACACAAAGTAGACGTGATGCAGCATATTACGCCAAAATGTAGATCACAAACGATATCATAATCATGTTAGTATCGAACTCGTTATCATATAATGTCAATCTGTTTAATAATACTTCTCACAAAGAACAAACAGACGTTTACCACGTTTGATCTATATTATACGTAACATTGTATATATTACTGTTTTTGTTTAGCCTCAGAAATAACATTGCATTTTTCCCCCCTGACGATAAAATCTTAAGTTCTGGGAAAAAGAAAAATTACCACGAATAAGATATCCATGCGAGAATTAGCTGACATATCGACGTCATAAAATTTTACGATAATACACTTGGTTTTTTTCATTAGTTAGAATAAACAGAGATAATTCTCGAGTGTTTCGGGGTTTATTTCCTTTTTATATTGTATCTCTGGTTATCATCATCGGGCTAAACATCAGTAGCAGAAACCTGGGAATAAAAATCTGTCCTGCGGACAACGATAGCATATGCACAGTCAATCTGACATATACAGTGTATCACGTTATTAGCATTTTCGCAGATAATAAAGTGTCATTTGTTTATACCGGGTAATCATTATTCCCAAGTTTCGGATACAGCTATGTAGTTATAGTAATAGTAAGGGTAATGCCGACAGTTCAGGATATGATCATAGTGATCGGGCATTGCATAACAGGATTGCATAATAGGATCATTGGAGGTAGACGATAATGAGCTCCGGAGAAGAAATGGGCAGAGCTCCACAGTGTTACAAGCTAAAACAGATTCTATAATAAGTTTGTTTTTACTAGCAAGTCGTGGTCTTGGTCTCTTCCTTTATATTGTAAAACGATTGTTATGTTGAGAATAACTTTAACTTTACCAGATTTCTCATAACTTTCGGTAACTTGTTATTGGAGGGGGGCTTTCGACTGTGTAGCTATATACCGTTTTGAAATAACGTTTAACGTTTCTTGTAAAAAGTTTAAACAAAAAACAACCATAATAGACTTTTCTTGCATTGACGATGAAAACAAGTGTTAATGCGATTTGATAAAGTCATACTTCGCATTCCTACAAGTTTCAACAGTCGTAGCTTTCTAGTCAAAGTGGTCTTTTTCATTGATTGTTGAAGTCAATTGTGCATCATAATAGCAAGTTGATAGTGATAGGAATATTTCGGATGCATTCTTTTTATAACTAGCATATACTTTCATACCGCAGCTTACTGCATTGATGTTTATTGATTATTAATTAATGTCGTACACCTGTGAGAAAATCAAAACGAGCCCCACTCTCCCCACTCTCCCAATAATACTGCGCCGCAGTATTTAAGTTCGCTTCCTCTCCCCCCTTTTTTTACAATTACTTGTCCTGTATAAGTAATTTAAAAAGCGATGCGACGGTCTTCTTAATCTGTCGAAACAAAAAATATATGGGCAGCAATTGGATACTCAACACAGTACGGTTATTTTAACAGCTTGGGTTGTAGGTTTCGTTAGAGAGCTAGAACATGATTCAAGTTATAACGAATGACTTTTCAAAAAAAAAAAGAATGGGACGTCTTTCTTACAATAGTTTTGGTTGTTAATAAATGATATTCCAAGCAATTCGTAATATAGTCTAACTGTTAGAGGACGTTGAGCCGAGGCAAGCATCCTCATTTTTCATTGCCTGACGTCAACAAATGAGTCACAAAACCCAACGCCATCGTAAAGATTGGGGCAAGACCATAAGTGGGAATATATGTGTTGTTTTCTATCGTCATATATCTAAATAGTTGACATTCATATTAATATAAACACACATGTCTGCTGATCATACGCTGGACCCTGACTACTAACGAACTCGGTTAACCAATCAAATCGACATAAATTTTACATTATTTTCGGTATCCTGCGAATCTCACATCCAATTAATTCACAAGTGAACATTCTATCAACACTAAATACAACTCCGTGACGTATTCTCTTTGTTGTACGTCTCTCATTTGTTGACTCAAACCATGATTTTCCTAACTTAAAAATACACGTTTCCTTTCTGGTTCGATCGTCGGTTCAGGGGAAAATATTTGCTGAGCCTTATTTTGCATCATCTGATAACATAAATATACCAATATTTTCCGCTTTGTCAGCTAAAAAGAGCTTTTTTTTTTTATTTTGCGTAGCCGAGTTTATTAAACTTAGTATTTTGTATTTATGTTCGGGGAGTGGAAATTTGATGGGCATTTTCGGGGTAAATATGATACTATCTAAAAATATCACACAGCCCCATGATCCATTAAATCTCGGGCCTGAGTTTCAGAGTGACGAGTTTTACGTATTTGCGTATTTTTAGATATGAGAACACATTTTCCCTAGCATCCTCATAGTATAATGGCAAATAAGCCGAGTATAATGGTACATTTATATTTAACTACAGACTAGTATTAATTAGTACTAATAGCGTCAACTATTTTGTGTGACAAATCCTTATCCATCTTGTGGTACTTACTATATTAATACTAACTCAATCTTTACGTTACCGAAAGTTGATATTTGCTCGGAGTAATTTATATTTATTCGGAGAACATTATGTGTCTTTGACAGTTAGAACGAACTCGAGATCTCTAAAACAAGACACCTGTTCATACAATGTATATTCATGAACCATTCTCCCAATTGTCCTTGTGATAAATTCATATCCTACAAACAAGTGAAAAAAGAAACAACGACAGACAGATCTGGTGCGGTAGAAGGCTTACAAATACTTCTGATTACATTCTAATTACGCCTCACCGACACCTCGCCAGTCTTGTCTTCCTTTCTAGGAATCACTTATATTTATTATTATGATGTGATATTGTTCTTGTTCTTATATTACCATAATCTAGTTTCATATACTATATACTATGCATATAAACATTTCTACAAACGTCGTCTCGCAGACAAAAACTAAGGAACAGGGATTAGGCTAATACCGTCCATTGCCGGTATTATAGAACACAGTATTCACATTATCCTCCATGCATGTATTCCGAGGCTGACATTGGTCGTGCTGCTGCTGTTTGGAACATTCCAAATGAAGGCCCATTTGCTTTTCGAGCAATTGCGGTTGCTGATACAGGATCTGCAATTGTGGGTTGCTATTGTTGTCATTATCATTGTTGCCATTGCTGTAGTCGCTGCTGCCGTTGCTGTTGCGGCCGTTGCTGCAAATCCTAGTCCCGCAGTCTACAATTGAATCAGCAGCGGGCAAATACGGATATGTCGACGAATCGATTACGCAAGCCATTTCCGGAGGATAATACAAGGGGAAATCAAAATGCTCCGTTCCATATGATGACGATGAACATTGCATTGAAGTCAATGGCAAGCTTGGCGAATATATCACATTACGATCCCACACCTCATTCATATCATGAATTGGACGACCGCTTGGCATTAGATCAGTGGGACATATTTCACTCGGAGGGCTCGCAAGATAGGATGTAGTAGTAGTAGCGGGAGAGTAAAGTGAGAATGGATCTAAAACTGGCGTAAGAAGGTTTTGCTGTATTCTTGGGTCATTGGGAAATTCTGCTACTGCATTGCTTTTTTGGCTCTCTTGGTTTATCACGTTTTCGTATTTATTTTCTAGCGGTATGTTTACTTTATCTGCTTCCGCTTCTGCTTCTATCATTGTTCCTTCTCCCTCACCTACCTCTTCCTCGCCATTCATTCTTTGGTGTTCCGCATCAATCGCATCAATCGCAGGTTCTTCCATGATTTCCTCATATTGAAGGCTTCTTGCGTCGTACTTGAAAACCCATTTTTTCTCTTTTCCCGTCTTTTTGGGTGAGAATTTGTACTCTGGGTACGTCGTTTGATGTATGATCACCGTTATCTTTGCCAATACTTGGAAGAATCTTTTAAGGTTTCTCTCGTCTTTTCTCCACGTTTCACTAGCGAGCGAGGATATCGTTCTCGCAGAAATGGTTGGAGCGTGTTTTCGGTATTTTGCCTCGAAATCCTTTCGGAAAAGAATCCACGGGTTTTGTGGACGCGGCGCAAGACAGGCTGTTCGGTGTTTGCTGTTTGGGAGAAGCGTGTCGAGTGGGATCGTTAATACGTATGGAGGATTGTTGAGGAGACATATTTCGGACTCGGTCAAATGATCGGAGTAGAGGAATATTAGGTCGTTCACGGATAAGGGAGAATGGCGTTTTCTGGGTGGCATTTTTGAGTGTACAATTATTAATTATATATCTAAAGATTATATTAAAGAGCTGATATCATAAATCATATATATTGAGATGCGTCTTTGGTTTTCGTTGCTTTGCAAGTTTTGATTCGAATTTTTGGGAAGGTGAAGGTGCTATTTATTACACTTATGGTTACACGGCGCGGCGGAATCTGCCGTGTGAATTGGTCAAAAAGACATGGATGATTCATTAACCGAATTATTAACGATTTAGAATAAACATGGGTGATTTAGGAACCCTCCGGATAAATCCCCGATGATGTGAAATTACACATGAGACGAAAATAAATTCTTCGCTTAGATTTGTTCAACTCGCCTCGGCAGCAGAACTAAAATAAGATGAGGCTTATGCTCATAGCAACAACATGTGTTTCGGAATTTATAATATAAATAATATTTTGAGCAGAACAATGTCTTAAACAGGTTTGCCGTGACTTTAACATGAAAATGGAAGGGTTCAATCAGTTGGTTCATGGTGCCGAGAAAAAAACAACAGAGAATTCTAATCGAAGGTTAATGCTCAAAGACAATAGCAAACAATATGCAAACCGTTACATGTGTCGAGCTTATTGTAATAAAGTAATGATCTACAGCATATTACGAAACGTTCTACAACGAAAAATCCATTAACACCATCTGGAACACTTTAATGTAAATTAATATAGTAATGCAAGGGCATCGGGTATCCTGCTCGTAATTACATGAAAGAAGATTTTGCCCTTTTTTTCCCATGCCAAGCCATTGTTAATGATGCGCTGATTGAAAATAGGGGAATGGAATTGTAGCATAGCGAACAGGCTGCGCACCCAATTATGTACACAATACCATATATTTTAAAGTAAAGCATAAAAAAAAGCAATGAACCTCGTTTCATTCAATCATTTTGTACGCGAAATGTGACTAACACAGAAACCCGATCGACTTCCATAAATAGGCAAAATATTCTTTATGCCTGTAGGTTCAGTCTCTTATGTTTGTTAAACGTTGCACAATACAGCAATAATGGGTAGTTCACTAAGCCACCGTTCCTCGCCCAAAATTTAACGACCTTTCGCAGCAGAAAAGAGCCATTCACACGACATTCGACCATTTTTTCCCTTTGGGGTCAGAGGACAAGTTTCAGAATAGACCATGTGTGCGTTACGTTGTTACAAACATTTGGCCCACCCGTTATTCAACCCATCGTCATTTGCCGAGCTTTCTGTTTTTTGTCCAGGGTGCTCGAGCGTATATCAACTCTAAAAATGAGCAACTCATATAATGAGAATGGCTTTTTTGTTATTATACGTTGTTTGTTGATGATAGCAAGCATGTGGAAACGTTCGACAAAGTGATACAAATGTATGTGATTAAGACATGAAAGACCATTAATTAATTATCATTGCGCAACCGGAAAAAATGCTCTGGATCAAATTTAGAATGATCTTCCCTAAATTGACCGGGTATTAACTGATGGTGTCTTTGTATTATCAATTTTAGACGTTTGGCCGAGTGAGCGGCCCTTGTTAATAAGGATCTGCACACTACTTTGTGTAAAATGGAAAGAATTCTAATTAGAAGGCTGTAGGTTGAACTGCTGAATTGTGTATAAGAAAACCTCATGTATAATACAACGGCGGTAGTCCTTGTATGTAAATCTTCATATCCCTGCCCAGTCTTGTTGGTTATCTCTATGTGTATCATATACGTATACAGGGACAACGTGTAACACGCTTTTACTATACATACATATACTGTATACCGTATAAATGCATTGTTTGCTCATACACAATAAATGCGGGACAATACTAACGTTAACGATTCATTGTATGCGTTACAACCAATAAAAGTTATAGCCGAGCTTGTTTATGTATCAGACTCTCAATGATTTAATTAAGGCATCATGATCAAAGCAGTATAAACTAAACTGGGTAAATCTGCTGATATTACAACGATTGTAAAGCTATAAACGGCGCCTGGAGCATGCGATCATAATAATTATTGTTAATTACCTTCAGATTGTTTGCTGACTGTGGAACAGAGATGAGTACTTAAGTAAATACGTTCTTAATGGTATAGCAAAGATAGAGAGCAATCCTCACCTTGTGTCGGCGCATAAATGTGTCGCATGAGCAAATCACTTGATATTATCTGGTGTGAAAGGTAACAGTATTCATGACTATTACCGCTCCGAATTCTATATAACAATAAAATATAATATACTGGTAACATATGTCACTTCCTGATACGGCTCTTCTTACGTCTCAATACAATTGCATACCAGCATACTGATAGTCGTTACCATTTTGAATTTGATGTTACTATCCGAGTTGAAAATTCTTGCCAAAAAATTTAACTAGTTTTACTGAAAGTTCTTCAGTTTACTGTTCCTGGTCTTAGGTATCTTAGTAGGCTAACTAAACTCCTTATGCAAAGACAGGGGGAAAGAAACTCAATTACCGAAGGTTATTTGTTCTATAACCAATCAGTTATCATGACGGGTTTGAATAATTTTACCGCCCAAGTCGAAAGACGGTTTGTGACTTGTATAATTTGAAACTTGGAGCTGGGTACTTTTAATTTTTGTGGAATACACCCCCGTTTCACGTATTAGCGTCCGTCACTGTTCTGCTGGATACGGTAATTGATAAATGTGCGCAGTTCAACTCGGAGTATGGTAACCGGAGTTTCGATAAAGACATGATTAATTTGGTCTTGTGCACAACTGTACGATGTTTCGCAAAGGGGGATTATGTTAATTTGGTCCTTCGTTTTACATTTAATTGTAAAATCTTGTCTTATATGGGTTGCTAGTATCACTCAAAAACGAGATAGGTATCCTTACTGCATTTCGGAGTTTTATTTTCTTGTCATATTTTAGTAATACAACGTTAATTGACAATGTAAGTATAAAAAGAACGAGAGGTATTGCTTGTTGCAAACAATCTTCAACTATTCTCATCTCACGATCAAAAAAAAAAAACTTTTTATCGATGTTCGAGCTTAACGTAACAAGTCAACCATGTTTAACGTTCTTTTGTTATGCGAAAAAATTTGGCCGTTGGATGAGAAAATTATTTCGAAGGGCCTTGTTTCGTTGTTAAGCTATGATGAGGTTCTTATTGGAATTGGGTATCTAGCAAAGAATAGCTAACGACTGGTAGATAAATTTGTGCTATGAAAATTCTTGCCTCAAAACTCCTCAGCGAAACGCAAAACACTAACAAAGTACCAACAACATACCGAGCGTCGTTAGAGAACGAAAAGGGTGCCAAGCAACAATAATCGCCAACTTACATTTCTGCGCAGCATATCAGCTTTGAACATGGTAATTATAACGACCCGTGAGCATGAATTTTAGCCCAGTATTCAATGTCCTTTCAAAATTTCCTAATATTAACAAACAAGCCATGGCTGTTACGAACACGTAGATGTAGTTCGTGTAATTAACTCGTACAAAGTTACCTCCTGAATATTTCTGAAAAAGGCAAATATGCCTCTTTGACCGGCGCATAAACTCCGAGTTTCCATGAAAGAATACGTGCAGAAAAGCATAGGAGCGTAATTAGAGAACAAAAGGGGTATCAAGTGACAATAGTTACCCAACTTACATTTCTACACCAGTGTATCAGCTTTGAACACGGTAATCATGACGACCCATGAGCATGAAATTTAGCCCAATATTCATGTCCTTTCAAAAATTTCCCAATTTTAACAAACAAGCCATCATGGTTGTTACAGACAACGTAGATGTTATTCGTGTAATTGCAAAACTAGTACAAAATTACCTCCTGAATATTTCTGAAAAAGCAATATACTTCTTTGGCCGGCGCACAACTCCGAGTTTCCATGAAAGAATACATGTAAAGAAGCATAGAATTCTAACCATTGCATTTATATACGCATTAATAATATTAATAATCAAATATGCATTTACACACATCAGTTATTAATTATTCCATAAAAACCTAAATTGAACAATTATTCGAATCTGCGTTCTTTTAACATCGAGTTTTTGCTTTCACCCCCCGTTAATTTCTCTCCCCGCTATTGTTTTGTTGCACATAACCGTATGTTTGCTTTATGCGCGTCAACTTTACTGCTGCTTTAAAATCGGAAACGAGATACAATAGTAACTGATATTCTCACTACAGTTGTTAATGTCTTTTTAGGAATATTATTTTGATAATGCTTGGCATGTATTTGAACAGCTGTATAATTACACGATAGGGGGTAATCATTATTATTACCACTCTCAACTTAATAAGTTAAATTATATTAAATGGAATACTAATCCTTAGCAATCTATTTATTATGTCATATTTCGCTAGCTATATGAGAACTATCTAGTGTTGAGTTACATTTTGTACCACTAAAAAATAGATAAATAGGCTCGCGTTGAGTCCACCCGACAAAACGACAAAAAACTCCCAAATCAATTTCAATCACAATATACTTTATTATCTCAATTTTTCTTTTACTCGCAATGAACTTTTCTACTTCCAGATTACTTCCAACACAAAACTGGACTCTGAAAATACCTAATACTAATCCTATTACGGCTTGCGGCTACATATTGATACTCTTGTGGATTCTTACCCTCCTCACGAGTACGGATGCCATTCCACTTCGAGACTCGGACTATAACTGCAATTACAGTTGTCATTATGAAGAGCTAACTAGACGGTCAGTAAAGAGGTGGTCTACAAAAGAAAATATCACGTGATATAACATACGCTGGCTACTGGCTATTACTTCTGTGACTAGCTTCATGCCCTCCTCCTGACTTCATACCCTCCTGACCTTCATACCCTCCTGACCTTCATACTTTCCTGACTTGATTGTCTTTTTTGTGCAATTAATATAACAGTTTTAGCGCACAAAAAAGCCCCGACAAAGAAGTTAGCACAAGTTCACCGGACGATCAAACGTCAACAGCAGTGTCAAACATGATACATACTATCGAAAATTCAAGCCTGTACGTTAAACTCTTACTT